GGGCGCGGAATTTTAGACTGTACTTCGACATTGTTGTGATATACTAGAAAATCACACAAATAACATCCTCTTTTTAAGATTCGTTGAACGCTGTTCGATTTAGAATTAGTAAGTCGGTCAAACCACCAGGCGTAGTGCTCAGGGTAGATTCACATGACAGCCCTTTTACATTGCATGTTTCCTGGAGACACACAACATTCCAGCCCGTGTACACGTTAGTAGTTCGGACAGCCTTTGTTGATTTCCTCATTTTGCAATGGAGAGTACTCTTCAACACTGCTGGTACGATCGTCCAACTCTTGCTGCTAATCACGCTGGGAAAGTGTGAGGTTGAGGTCAAGAGATATCTCTGACAATGATCCACCTTCCTTAATAGGATTGGTAGAGAACACTCGTCCTAGCTGTGAGCATAGGTCTGTGAATGACTCATTGCTTTGTAGAAACACCTTTTAAACGTAACATTATTATTTCGTGGAAGAACATCTATCATGTTCTTTCGAAGAGTTGGTAGACCAAGTAACCCGTCGGCTGGCAACTTAAACTGCTGATTCATATAAAGTCCGCGTAGAAGGGCGTACCAATGTTTTGAGAATCTGAGTGGTAATGTCACTCATTCCTGTGATGCTCAGCTGAGTACCTGAAACTCCTTCGGGAGCTCAGCGTTGCTAGGTCTCCAATTGAAGTTGGTGAGGGAATTTACGCTGTAACTCGTGATATGGATGTCATGCCAATACATTAGCGCAAGCACCTGTGTCAATATCAGAGCTGACCCAAGACCACTCTCACCGGCACTGACAACACTTCCACTTTGCTAAGCGCCGCTACCAACGAGGCCGCTACAAAGTGCTGTGAGGAGGGGCGGGACTACCCAAGCCATCTCTTGGTGTGGTGTGCGTTTGTCTTCCCCGACGACTTGTCTTGGAGGGACACTTCTGCGCCTATACGACACTGTTTCACCTGTCCACACCCCTAGCTTCCTATTAGCACTTCGCACCATGAACCATGAGATGTCGATTTGTGAAGTGCGCACCATTTGTGTGTCTTCTGGATAGGAGGAGGTATCTTCTTTAGCTGCTTCCGAAAATGACCTTTGAGAGGAGTGCTTGCACTGTTACCTTTGAGCTGATAACAATCTTCTGTTGCGGCCACGTTTATTACAGTGTGCGCATCGTAAAGGAATTTTTATTTATAAGTCCGGCGGGAGGCACCGGAGCCAAATGTGTCGCATAAGGAGTCTGGGAGGGAGTTAGTAATGGGATGTTTGGTTCACACTCAGGATGGGATGGAGAAAGGAAACTCATAATGTGCTCTCTGTATACATGTTGTATTGATGTACAATGCAGCTTGGTAGCGGGAGTGTGGTTACAAGCGTGATGTAGAGAGAGCTGGTTGGTGAGGGTGCTGAGAGGAGGACAGTTTGTGGGTCGCCGTGCTCGCCGGCGGAGCAGCGAGGCCGCCAGGGGCAGCGGCGGAGGAGGTGGTGTAGCTTGGGTTGCGGCTGTAGGTAGAAGAAGAGAGTGGTCACCACGAGAGGTTAGGTCTTAAATAGCGGAGTGTAGGCGTGGCTTAGTAGCTGACTTCCGTCAGCGGCGGCGCGGTTCCACCAGACCACGGCATACACTGGGAATTATGGTCGGCTACCCAGCGACAAACAGCATTTGTAGGGGAGAAACCACTACAGAGTCATGTGCTCATCTGAGGTATCTAGGTTGCACCATAGACGTCAAGGGTTGCGTATGTCGTCACTGAGGGCTGCTTTCATAAAGGAATGTCATTAAGGACTGTGCCATTATGGGGCCCCGCAGCTCTGGGGACAGATTATTTTATGCATCTACCCATGTGGTGGTTCATACTGCACCTCTTGTGCCTCGGCTATATAGAGGACGATGGACGGAAAGCAGCATATTAGCTCTATCAACATTTCTACATTATCCGCCGGACATGTTACCTGATCGTCGTACCACCTGAGGTCCGGAATGTCGTTGCATGTCCTGGTTGGCGAACTCGCCTGCGATGTCGACAGCGTCGACAGGCGTTTCACGCGCATTCCCTGGCGCACAACGATCCATCCATCTGAAGATGTTACTGAAGCTTCGGCCCAGCTGGTGGACCCACCCCCAAAGATCCCAATTAACGTTCGCTTAAATTCCTCATAATCAGGGCTCTGCAAACCAAACGCATTTAACGACCACCGCATAAAACCCCGCGTACGTGGGAACGTACATATTTTTGTCTTCGTCGTCGTTATTTGCCCAGTGCGCATGTTATCTTTACATGCACGAATGAAATGTGCGAATCTGGATAATCATCTTTGACCCATGTACTTTTGGAATTGTCACCACGCTGCATATCATTAATAACTCTATCAGGCTGAGTTGACGCGGTAGTAGCATTGGACGTGAGGGTTTGTGGAAGACATTAGTATTCTTACCTCAACAGAAGGCTGGGTTAATAAGGTTGTTACTGGTTTAGCAACAGACACACTATCACCTGAAACAGGGGGTAAATGCTTTTGTATACTGAGGTGAAGTATTATATTGATTTCCAGATCGCAAGGTACGACGGTTTAAGTCGTCAAATGATTCCTCACCTCATTTCACAACTTCCTTACCGAATCGCTCTAACTGTGTCTCTGACCTGGGCCATCAATGTCAGTCTCTGCTTGATTTATTCCCTTGTTGCTTATAAATAGTTGCGCTTAGGTGTGCAATGTCATCAACACTAGACAGTGGAAACTTAGAAAATTATCTATTAGTCTATTGTATTGTCGAATGTAATTTCCAACAGTAAAAGCAAATTACTTGCCTTCATTTACAAGATAAATGAATATTAATTGCAAGTTAATTAAATTATGAATAAGGAAACAGGCACTATGAACCACTGTAAATTTAAAGAATTTCAATACATTCATTTTTACATTCGACACTTGATTATCATTGAAATAATCCTATCCAACGAACCTATCGGTGAAGATATCTGTCGAACGTGCTTATGTGTATAATTATGTTATTTAAATACCTAGTTTTATACAGGGTGTGATGTCTGTATAGAAAACGTGATCCTTCAAGCCGAGTTCCGAGTCGAGTCTTGTGTGGAGAGTGGGCGGGGCCTCTTCCTGGTGATGATGCTGCTCTTTGGTTTCCTTTGGCAAACGAAGAGACACTTCTATTCCTTGGAGAGAGACGACACTTCAAACTAGGGGGAGGTTCTCCACAGTCGATCAGAAACTGCTGATGATTGATATCGCTCTGTTAGGCCGCTAGCGAGACTGTCAGCCAAGTCTTCACAGTCTACGATATATGGAGATCTGTATGATGACACCGAACTGTAATCAACGCTGGCACACAACAAAACTGTTCAGCTACTTGTGAAATATCAATTGTTATTCCAAGTTATGAAACCTTTCTTCAACACTGCAACATTGTATCAGGAAAATGCTGAGGGGGTCTTCAACAGTACCAAACTGGATATTCACCAACAGGATGTAATATATATATATTGCGAATTCCTGCACGTTTTGTATGTGACAGATAAGGAGTACTACTAAATATTGTTTCAATATGGGATGGTTTAAACACTCTGATTATAATGCTTCACTGTTATGTGTTTTCTGTTTTTCACAAACAAGGACGGTCTGGCTATGACTACCAGTTTAAGAACTGTACACACGGTTAAGCCACCTATATGAATCGTTGGATTGTCCAATTAACCAGGTCGCTCACATTATTATATTTGATATTTGGGTTTAAGTAACGAAACCCAAACTGTAGTTCCTTCTTTATTATAAAAGGGTTGTATCTGTAATTCTTGAGTGTAGATCGACCGTAAGTTCCACTGTATATGAGTGAATGAGAAAGGGACCTAAGAAGTGGTGTATTATAAACGTTAGGTCACGTCCACGACATACTGTAAATTGCTGTGAGGACTACTGAGTGAGGGCCTCGCCAGCGGGCTTTTACAGATATGCTGACGATGGGCTTCACCCTTGGGAGAGACTTGCCTCTTTACTTGTACAACTCATGTCTTACTCATAGTCAGTGGAAAGCATAGGTGAATCTGAAGTAATATCAGATGTATTGACCCATTTATATAATATGTTCTGTTGATGAGACAGGGGCCCATTACATGTCTTTTGTTTTCTTTAAATCTTTATATTTTTTCTAAGACATCATCCTCATTATCATTTGTTGGTGCATAAACCTGTATTATTACTAAGTCCATGGGTTTAGTATAAAACTTAATCTGACACAGCCCAGTATTACTTTATACTATATCTCAACTTCTGGTTTATAAGAATACCAACACCTCTCTCATACTTTTCACCACCTGAATATATGAATTTAAAATCTTCACTGCTAAAGTTATTTGAGCCTGTCCATCTTACTTCACTTAATCTCAGAATGTCCCACTGCAGTCTTTTCATTTCACTGCAAATAAATGTATACTTACTTGCGTCATATAATGTCCTCAGCTTCCAAGATCCATTCTTGATTTTGTGCTTGTTCATTTTTAATCTTTCCGTCGTGTTTAATGTCCGTTTTATTTCTTGGACGGTACTTGCTAGCTCACGGGGGCAAACTGCCCGCAAGGACGGTAGGCAATGAAGCTGGACCTGTTGGTGACGATGATCCAATAGGAACGCCCGAAAATCGTTTATAGTGTTTGTCCATGGTTGTTTAAGGGCAAGAGATGAAGTTAATGAAAATGGATGCCCAAACCTTTTATCATCAGAAGGTTAATTAAAAAGAGTAAAAAGTGTTGGGAATGAACTATGGGGTGTAGAGGTGTGGAATTTATGTGTTTATCGACGATCCATTTTCAACCTCCTCATCTGAGGTTGCAAAATGGAACTTCTTACCCATTTAATTTTAACATAAGAACATATAAAATAATATACAATAGTCCAATATGGTGAGCTTTGTGTGCCTGGCACTTCATTTGATTGTCTTTACTTCTATCTTTAGCATCCAACAGGTAGGATTGCAATAAGTGCTACACTCTAACATTATACTATCATGACTGTTTACCAATTATACCATTCCAAATGGTTCCTGTCAACTCTGTCATGCTCTTCTCTTCCTGCTAATCTTCCATGGTCACTGTGGGTGCCTATAGAGGTGGTAGCAGGGGCGGGTGTGAAGTACACTGGCGCAGTATTGGAGTATGAACCTTATGATGAATGGGGAGAGGAAGGCGGGCTTGGCATCGTCAGAGAAAATTCAAGAGTTCTTGCAGAGTATGTGAACCTGGCTAAAACTCAGGTAAGGTTTACCCGGGGTCCATGGAGGACCAAGGATTGAGGCACCTTCTTTGGTGATTTGTGGTTGTTAGCTTTCTAAGTAATGGAGTTTCTTGGGAATTATGGATTTGGGAAAACAAACTATAAGTTTCTTGGGTTCTTAGGACATTTATGATAGCTTAAGTTGAGGTTCCTACGGATGGCATATAATGTAACATAAATAAGTAAGATACACATTTTATGAAGAGTTAGACGGAGAGAAGTAATTGTTCTTAAATGTGTACTATAATTATTTTATTATTTATTAAAATAATCTATATTATTTTAATCACTGTTTCATGTAATTTTCCTAAATACAATGAAAACCTATTTTTTTCCAAATTAAATTAGGATCAAACGTATTTCGTTGCAGTGACGTTTTAAAATAATTTAGCATTTTAAAATGTCTTGACAGATAACCAATATGTAGATTAATGTTCCTGAACTACCTTAAACACAAGTCAAAGAGCCGAAAATTGAACGAAATATTTTTTTTTTACCTTATATTTGTTATTGAGGAACAAATATTGTTGTATTATAGTATGACGCAGCCGACTGTGATGGATAAACTTTCTTTGTATCTTTCCGTTTCAGAATATAATTAAAGCAGCTGTAGTGACTGAGCTTCAATATCATACAGTGTTTTTGTATCAAACATGAATTCCTTAATAATCTTCTTCCATTATTGTTCACCATATTCCTTGCTACGAGCTCAAAATCCGCTCTGTATCCTCAAAATATTTATTCTCCCACTCTCAAAATCCTCCTTCCTTTACCCTCACAATCTCTCCCCATCAACCTTCATAACCTTTCCTCTACCCTCACAATCTTTCTTCAACCACTCTCACAATCCTTCTCCCACTCTCACATTCTACCCTCACTCACTTTGGTTCCTTACTGGGGAGCGCAGAGGCTTTAATACAATCACATGTAATTATATCAACACCTCCACCTGTATCATATTTTTTATTGTGTACAAGATAATCTGATCTCAGCTTGACCATTTATTTAGGGTGCTGACATATTTGTGGCTCCTGAGTATGGTGTAACGAGCATCAAGCTACATCAGGTCAAGGGGGATGATCTGTTCTCTTTGATGCACTATGTTCCTGACCCAGGATTCCTTTTTGCTCCCTGTATCTTGGAAGTTGACTCCTCCAATATTGAGGTAACAGATAACGAAACCGATTCTGGTTACAATTAAGCTATAAACACATAAATGTCCACCATTTGTCAAAGGTATTTGCCACAGCTAAGACATACCCAATACTTGTAGTGTGTAATATACAATAGAGCACATACAAGCCCACTATATGTCAACAATGTATAACAGAGCCCATTCTTGCCCAATACTTTCCAACAGTGTAATAGAGAGTTTACACATATCAAGTATTTACCAATAGTGTGCAATAGAGAGCCTGTACCTGCTCACTAATTGCTAACAGTTTGTAACAGAAAAATTATATGCTCAATATTTGCCAACAGTAATGACAAAATTACCTTTAGATGGCATAGACTAGCTTTTTATTTTTTATACGTACACTTTTTGTTTGTTAAATAATCCCACCTGCGAGTCACCTATCAACTAGATGTGGGTTGTCAGGTAATCCCACTTGTTAATCACCTATAACTCACTGTGGTTTCTCAGGAAATCCCACCTGGTAACACCTTAATGTAACTTTGTGGTAGAGACTTATAAGAGTATAATCTTCACCACTTTCATACTTCTAAGTAGAGTGAAGGCTTGTCGCTAGATTTTGGCTTCACTCCTATTCTTTTGATTATGTATATTACTCCCTGTTCGTTCTTAGGAGTATCTAGTAATTTTTGTTTCTGATTACTTAATGTTCATACAAACACTATTTTGTTCTCGTATTTTATTACCAAAATATATGCACACTGTCTGTATTTTGACAGAGGCTATTGAATGCGTAGGTTAAGCCATTTCTAGTTTGTGTATGACTCGGTCATGTAGTTCATAGTTTATGACACCAGCATTACTATGCATTTACAGTAAGACTCAATATTGTAGTTCCTTGTTGCATGTTAAGGTGCTACTATCACTATACTGTATATATATTACTAGATTAAACAGCTTAAGTATGATTTACGGATCTAAGTTAGACACCGCCATTACTGTGTTTGTGATTAATTTTATTGCTTTTTGTACATTTTTATTTATGTTTAGTTTAACAGACCACCAATAATAATTATACCTGAATTTTTAAAGTTATTTCTAAGTTCACCGCTGCCATACCTCAACATTTCTCTTAAAATCTCAACTTACATTTATCACATCATACATGCAAACATAGAAACCATGTCGTCTTTGTTTATATTTGGGAAGTGAATATTGCAAATAGGTAATATATTACGTATACATACAAAGCTTCTCTGTATGTTGTGATTGGTAGACAGCTAAAACCCCATATTCTGATTGACAGGCGATTAGGACATTGAGCTGTGCGGCCCTGGAGAACCAGATCTATGTAATAGTAGACATGGGGGAGGCGAGTCCATGTAACATTGACACAGCTTCCAAGAACCCTTTCGGGAATGCGATTGACAACTCCTATGACTGTCCCGAGAGTGGCTACATCTTCTACAACACACAAGTGGTCTTTAACAGAAACGGCACCGTGATCGCCAGGTTATTCTGTATGCATGTCTATATTTACAAGAGAGGCATTAAGTGTCTAAAGGTCTATCTTAATTCAGGCAAAACCGAATGTTTAAATGTTTAAAGTGATGGAAACGACTGATAATTCAATGTAGATCATGATAAGTGTGATGAAATGTAAAAAAAAAAAATGAGAACTTAAAAGAGAGTATTTCCAAGTTACACTGTCTAGATGAGCACCATACACTGTTCAGCCCAGAACAAGTGTGTTATAAATTAAGATTATAGTCAAAACCTCGCTCACCCTCACATCACAGAGTAAGGACCGGTTTCACCCTCACATCACAGAGAAAGGACCTCCTTCACCCTCATCTCACAGAGTAAGGACCTCCTTCACCCTCACATCACAGAGTAAGGACCTCCTTCACCTCACATCAGAAAGGACCTCCTTCACCCCACATCACAAGTAGGACCTCCTTCACCCTCACATCACAGAGTAAGGACCTCCTTCACCCTCACATCACAGAGTAGAGGACCTCCTTCACCCTCATCTCCAGAGTAAGGACCTCCTTCACCCTCATCACAGAGTAAGGACCTCCTTCACCTCCACATCACAGAGTAAGGACCTCCTTCACCCTCACATCACAAGTAAGGACCTCCTTCACCTCACATCACAGAGTAAGGACCTCCTTCACTGCCCACATCACAGATAAGGACCTCCTTCACCCGCACATCACAGAATAAGGACCTCCTTCACCCGCACATCACAAGTAAGGACCTCCTTCACCCTCACATCACACAGTAAGGACCTCCTTCACCCTCCACATCACAGAGTAAGGACCTCCTTCACCCGCACATCACAGAATAAGGACCTCCTTCACCCCATCACAGAGTAGGACCTCCTTCACCCTCATCGCACAGTAAGACCTCCTTCACCCTCACATTACAGAATAAGGACCTCCTTCACCCGCACATCACAAAGTAGGACCTCCTTCACCCTCATCGCACAGTAGGACCTCCTTCACCCTCCATCGCACAGTAAGGACCTCCTTCACCCGCACATCACAGAATAGGACCTCCTTCACCGCACATCACAGAGTAAGGACCTCCTTCACCCTCACATCGCACAGTAAGGACCTCCTTCACCTCACATCACAGAATAAGGACCTCCTTCACCCGCACATCACAGGTAAGGACCTCTTCCCTCATCACAGTAAGGACCTCCTTCACCCTCACATCACAGAATAAGGACCTCCTTCACCCGCACATCACAGAAAGGACCTCCTTCACCCTCATCCTACAGTGGGACCTCCTTCACCCTCACATCACAGAGTAAGGACCTCCTTCACCCGCACATCACAGAATAGGACCTCCTTCACCCGCACATCAGGAGTAAGGCCTCCTTCACCCTCACATCACACAGTAAGGACCTCCTTCACCCTCACATCACAGAATAAGGACCTCCTTCCCCTCCATCACAAAGGAGACCTCCTTCACCCGCACATCACAGAGTAAGGACCTCCTTCACCCGCACATCACAGAATAAGGACCTCCTTCACCCGCACATCACAGAGTAAGGACCTCCTTCACCCTCACATCACAGAGTAAGGACCTCCTTCACCCTCACATCACACAGTAGGACCTCCTTCACCCCTCACATCCAGAATAAGGACCTCCTTCACCCGCACATCACAGAGTAAGGACCTCCTTCACCCTCACATCACACAGTAAGGACCTCCTTCACCCTCACATCACAGAATAAGGACCTCCTTCACCCGCACATCACAGAGTAAGGACCTCCTTCGCCCTCATAACAAATTGTAAGAACCTTCCTTCACCCTCATAGTACATTGTAAGAACCTCATTCACCCTCCCCAACACATTGTAAGAACCTCATTCACCCTCATAGTACATTGTAAAAATATCATTCACCCTCATAGTACATTGTAAGAACCTCATTCACCCGCCTCACATTTGAAGAACCTCATTCACCCTCACAACACATACAAGGAATCTCCTTCACCCTTATAACAAAACTAAGGAGCTCCTCCACCTTCACAGCACACAGTGAGAACCCTTCCTTGCCACAGGTACCACAAGAAGAACCTTTTTTTGGAGCCAGAGTTCATGCCGGGGACAGAACCTGACGAGCAGGCTGTATTTACTACTGACTTCGGTGTCACCTTTACACTGCAGGTGAGCTGGACTTATGTAATCTTCAGTAATTAATAAAACTAAAATATTTTCTCATGTAATGGAAGAAATTTTCTGTGAACTGTACATAACTATGTTATTTCTGACAAGTTACAAAGTTGTCAGTACGTGAGTTAGCCAATTAGATTATGTTAGATTAGGTTTCCTGGGGAAACCGATGACTGAAATATCTAAGCGTAAGACAAGGTACTATATAGATAATGGAGAAATTAGCAATGTAATAATAACTCAGTGTTCCCTCACATATTTCAGCTCTGTGCGAAAATAAGTAAAACTATTTTTTACCTTTAAGTGTATAAACTTCACCCCCTTCCGCATGAAATGCAATGTTAAATAAAAAAATAATAATTTTAAGGTAGAAAACATTGAAATCAAGTATGAAACAACCTTAGCTATACTATATCATGCACTGCATACTACAGCTTCAAAATTTCTTAGATATCGTAGGCAAGCCCCAGGAGTGTATAATTCACATGATAATGAGGCTAGGACAACGAGAAGACAAACATGAATCCGTGTACACTGATGTTGTAGATTATTAAGGAGAGGGTTCTGGTTATTAATTAGCCTATGGCAAAGGATTGTAAGTGACATATATAATGGTGAAGAGCATTAAGACTTGAGGGTTGTTAGGCCATTAAGTGAAGTGTACAAGCAAGTGTCAAGTGAGGTGAAGTCAGGAAATCAGGGCAAGATATCAAGAGTGTGGAGCTGTTTTTGTATGACGGCTGGTGGTGTTTTATTTTTTTTTATTTATTTTTGGCAGGGAATAGCCCACCCGGGCACAGGTCATCGACCCACAACTGGGCCTAGGGGGAGAAAAAATAGATAAAAATAAATTAAAATGAAAAGAACAAGATTATAATTATTAATCTACTGTACACCACGAAGATGCCAGTGGTGGTGATAAAAGTTTCCTAATTCTCCCGTTATGGGAGAAAACTATTGTGTGAGCCTCTGGGGACTGTGGGCTGATCTTCTGCCTCCAGGTTTTGCTTCATCAGCTTTTAATGTATGAGGAGTGGATAAAACACTCGCCTCCTGTTCCATGGGTCGGTGGGTCGATCCCCGGGCACTTTCAGTTCACCCACCTTTAAATGGGTGCCTAAGTTTACAACGTGGGGTAATTAATGAGGTAAATCGTAATACCGGCTAAGCAGACTCTTTGTGTACCGAAGGCTGAACCCACACTGTTGCTAAAGGACAGCCATTCCTTATGGGACCCACTTTCATTTAATGAATGATTTATTTTTATGACCTTCCTTTGTTGTCCCCTGCTTTTTTATTAAACTTGTTTTCATTTGTAATCAGGTTACCTCACAACTAAAATAATATATTTCCTCAGGTATGTTTCGATATCGCCTTCCTACACCCAGGGGTGACAAACATTGAGACCCATGGCATCAAGGATGTGGTTATGAGCACATCTTGGGTCGATATTCTTCCTTTCATCATTGGTTAGTATTACATACACATGCATACCCATATATATATGGATTCTATATGCAAAGATCACCTCCTTTATTCATTGTATTTATTATGTGACTCCCTGCCCTCTCACATCTTCCACTTTAACTGTATACACATTTTACAACTCAGTATAGATCAATATGGCACCAGTACACACGCATATTCCGGCTAGGACAAATAAACGTGGGTATACTAGTAAATTCAACCCTTAAATTTAGCTAGTATGACACATACTGTACATATACACTTTTTAGTTTGCACTTGCAAGCTTTTTCCTTCAATGATGCAGGGTGGACGACAAGTGTCAATCTTCCTAGTCTTTGAAGTCAGCAATTACTGTAGTGTGTTACCTCACCCCATGATAGGATCCAACAAATGCTCCCGATAGTGTATTCATTCAGAATACATTGGGCTCTCTGCCCACTCACTGTGAGTCAAGGGTTAAGGCAGCCCGCCCACGCTCTGGTCCCAGACAGTTTTTTTTAACCAAGTTCCAAGTACAGCGGTATTGTAAGTTTATCAGAAACTGTATTGTACACAGGAAAATTAATGTGAACAGTAATTTATATTGATTTAAAGTAATAACATATTGAAAATTAATTCGTAATTGGTTAAATTTCCTTTGTTTAAGGAATCGTTTATTACTTAAGGACTACAAAATTATGCCTGAAGTAGATTAGATAAAATTTTGCTCGATTATGATTAGGATTGGTTAAGGAAGGTTAGGTTTTGTATGAAACAATTAATGTAGAATTTTCTATGATCTGCATGTTCGTTTATGGCGTCTCAGAAGTTTCCAATACAGTTAAATACACAGAAGTCATCGCCAATCGTAAATTATTCCAATTTAGTATATATATATATATATATATATATATATATATATATATATATATATATATATATATATATATATATATAACAACATCCATCATCACTACATATAACATCATCCATCATCACTACATATAACACCATCCATCATCACTACATATAGCACCAAACTAAATATAACAACACCCATCAACACTACATATAACACCATCCATCATCACTACAGATCGGTAAAGTATTTTCCGAGATTCTCGTGCAAAAACACAAACAAACAAACGGGCGGCTCATTCGCTAGGCCACATAAGGACGCCACCCTCTGGGAGGCTCCACATTGTCTCACTGTTCAGTCCCCAAAACTTCTTCTTCCATCAATAGTTCATTAACGGTGTATGTAAGTTCCACCATGTATTTCACTACAACGGTACAGCAAAGTATATTTTTTTAGCATTAAACTGTTATTATTTCATTGTCTAATCATCACTACATATAACACCACCCATCATCACTACATATAACATCATCCATCATCACTACATATAATACCATCCATCATCACTACGAGAGGTGACAATATATTAGACCTAGTATTAACAAATAAAGAAAATATTATCAGAGATATCACAGTAGGGCAAGAACTAGGTAACAGTGATCACAGAGAAATCAGGTTCACCTTAAATTGGGAAACGAAAAACAATGACAATATGGTCAGAGTCCCAAACTTTCGGTTGGCGGATTATCAGGGTTAAGAAGGTACCTAGGTGAGTCACCTGAGGAACAGTCCGTCAGTTCCCAGTAGGAAGGGGTGAGTCATGGATGACACAACAATTGATCATAACTATAATATATTCACTAGTATACTACATAAAGCACAAGAACAAAATATACCATACAGAAAATTAGGTCAAATAAGAATGAGACAAGGTGGATGACCAGAAAACTTAAACATGACATAGGAATAAGAAAGGAATATATAAGAAATTAAGGGAGGGAGGAGCAGCTCAGAAACAGGTATAATGAACTATCTAGGAATGTTGAAAAATGTAAGGAAAGCAAAGAGAGACTAAAATCAAAATAGCAAGAGATCCAAGGCGAATCCCAAGGGATTTTTCCAGGTATAGGACAAAGGTCAAGGACAAAGTTGGGCCTTTAAAGAGTCAGGAGAATTGATAAATGGCAGTGAAGAAATAAGCAAAGCATTGAACAGCTACTTCTTATCAGTTTTCACAGAAGAAATTTGCAATGAATTCCGGAGGTGGAACTTATATTTAAGGAAAGAAGAAAGAAATTAAGAATATCACTATCAGAAAAAGGATGTTCTTAAGAAGATAAATAAACTAAAAATACAAAACCCAGGGCCGATGAAATTTTTCCTCGAGTCTTAAAAAGAGTGTAGGAACAGATTAGCGGACCCTCGTAAACTTATTTACAAAACATTAGACACTGGTCGTTGTGGACAGGAAAATTCATATTCAAAAAGGGAGACAGAGCATCAGCGTCAAATTACCGGCCGATCAGTTTGACGCTCAGTGGGGGAAATTTTTGAATCAATTATAGCAGATAGCATCCGATCGCATCTAGAGAAAGCAAATTAATCTACGACTCTCAACATGGGTTACAAAGGAAAATCTTGTCTAACAAATCTGTTAACGTTTTTTAGGAAAGCTTCAGGTAGTAGATAATGACGAAAATTACGATGTTATTTACTTAGACTTTAGCAAAGCATTTGACAGAGTACCGCATCAGAGGCTTGAGAAAAATTAGCTCATATCGAGGGAAAGTTTTAAATTGATAAAATCATGGCTCACCGATAGAACGAGGTGAGCGAGATGGTGTTAAATCTGGAGGGCCTGAACCAGTGGGTTCTAGGGTCAGTACTAGGCCCACTTGTTCATAATCTACATAAACGATTTAGATATGGGATCAGCAGTGACATAAGCAAGTTTGCGGATGACACCAAAATAGGCGGCAAATTAATTCAGGGCAGGATACAAATGCATTACAGGAGGATCTAAATAAACTGCAGGGAGTGGTCTGAAATGGCAAATGAAATTCAACACCAGCAAGTGCAGCGCACTTAATATTGGAAGAACAAATACTTATAATGTATACAGTCTTAACAACATCAACCTAGAGAAGTCGACTTGAGAAAGAGACCTAGGGGTACTTGTAAGGCTGACCTACGGCCCAGGAAAACAGTGCGTTAATGTTCGAAATAAGGCAAACAGAGTATTGGGTTTTATATCTAGAAGTGTAAGTAACAAGAGTGCAGAGGTCTTATTGCAACTATATCTTGCGCTAGTCAGGCCGCACCTCGATTATGCAGGCATTCCATAAGAAATACAAGAACATAAGAATGAGGAAAACTGCAGTGGGCCTATTGGGCCCATACTGGGCAGTCCTGGCTACATAATTTCAACCCTTATTGCTCATATAAGCATCCAACATATGTTTGAAGCTATTCAGCGATTCGGAAGTTAATGATGATATTTTGGTAACTTGTTCCATTCATCCACTACTCTGTTTCCAAACCAGTGTTTACCGATTTCACGCTCAAATTGGGGCTATCTAATTTAAACCATTGTTACGAGTTCGCCTCCTGGTTGGATAGTTTGAGTACCTTTGTAATGTCCCTTTGTTTAGCCCTGCCTTCCCACTTATACACTTATTTCTTCAGGTCGCCCTCGCTCTACGTCTCTTCGAGGGAGTGCAAATTAAGATGCTTATTTCGTCTCTATTTTCAAGGTTCCTAATGCCCGGGATTAGTCTTGTGTCATTCTCCTCTGAATTCTTTCCCCAAGGATTCTATATCCATTCTGTAATGTGGTGACCAGAACTGAACTGGCGAGTCCAGGTGTGGTTCTACAAGAGCAAGATACAGTTTTACGGCGACCTCGCTAGTCTTGTAACTAACACTCCTTTGTATGAACCTGGCATTTATTAGCTCACCATGAGCAAAACACATTGTTTACTTGGTCGTTTATGTCTTGATCATTACTCCTAAATCTCTCTCGCAGTCGGATTTCTATGGCATCGTTGTTCATCTGGTATCTGGTTTCTGTTTACATCTCCTATACTGAGTACAGTACATTTGTCGACGTTGAATTTCATCTGCCATTTTTCAGACCATTCAAAAATTTCCAGAGTCGATCTTCTCCTGTAGTTTTGCCAGTCCTCGCCAGATTTAATAAATATCGTCTTATTTTAGTGTTTATCAGGCAAATTTATTTATGTTGCCAGTCTATGCCGATATTCATGTCGTTTGCGTATATAATAAATAATAATGGTCCAAGTTAACACTGAGCCTTGGGGGGAACACCATTTACGTGTTGCTCCAATGGGACTTAGTGCCGCTAATGCTCACTGTTTCCTGTCCTGTAACCACGCCTCTAATCCATTTTAGGATGTCACCTTGATGCCATTTTCTTCACCTTTCTAATTAGTCTTCTTTCGGGGACCTCTGTCGAAGGTCATAAAGTCGAGATATACTACATCATATTCAGTACCTCGTCCACCGATTCGAAAACTGATGAAAGAATGCTATAGACGATAGCAAGAGCGTCCGCTTGTGAAGCTGTTGGGGAATCATTGATCAATCTGTGCTTCAGTGATTTGAATAGAGTTTGAGATGATTGTTTCGTACCTGTCACTATTGATGTTAAATTGATTGGGCGGTAGTTAGAGGATAGTGATTCATCCCTTCTTGAAAACCTGGTATTACATCTTGCCATCCTCCAGGATTCTATGGTACTACACCTGTTTTTAATGACATGTTAAAACAACTTGCTAAGGGCATACTAAGCTCTTCTCACATTCCTTTAATACTCTGGCAAATATCTCATCGACCAGGTGACTTATTAGGCTTTAGTTTTTCTATTTGCTTACTAACATCGTTACTAGTCACTACTATCTCACTTAATTTGTTTTCTTCACTATCTCTGAACAGAGTCGGCGCCTTCGCATCATGTTGTTTAATTTTTTCGGTGGTGAAAAACTGTTGAAAAATATTTATTCAAATTATTGCTCATTCTCTGTCGCTATCAGTGAGCTCGCCGGTGTCTGACCAGATTGGTCCAATCGTTTCTCGTGGTTTTAGTTTGGATACATTTGTAGAACTTTTGGGGTTTGTCTTCATTTCCCTTGCTATCCTTACCTCTATTATTCCTCTTTTGCTTCTTATCTCGGTTTTAAACCTTACCCGCCAATACTCCTGTATGAGTCCCGGAGGTGAATTTCGCTAATGCATTTATCCTTTCCACCTATAGGCCTTCCCTTGGCCAATGATGTTCTTAAATAATTATTATTAATCCTTTTTAGGGTCATTGTTGTCTGATTCGAGTTTTTGTATGGTATGTTCTGCCTTGTGCATTGCTAACTCACTATTTAAATTCACGGGAACTTCCGGCACCTCAGATCTCGAGCCAGGTCGCGGTGCGTCAGCTGACAGGTTCACGCTGCCGCCGACACCCCTTTCTCAGCTGCCTCTTTAAACTGTCAAAGTTCGCCCTTCTGAAATCTGGGTACCTTAGTGAATTTTCCTTACGCCTGCCCTGAAAGTCTAACTGAATTCAATTTCTTTGTGATCACTGGTTTGCACCCGTTCCCTACCTCGACCCCTGCTCAAGGCGAGGCTTTCCGCTTGACAGAAACTAAATCAATATAATTATTACTCTCGTGTGGGTTCAGTTATATGTTGACTTAGGAAAACCTGATATAGTCTCGAGAAAATCTTCCTATTCTGAGTTACCTGTAAGGTCAGTCCAATCTATTTGGCCAAGGTTAAAGTCGCTCTACTATACAGACTTTGTTGTGTATGGAAGCCTTGGCGATTTAGTCCCAGATAGTCGCTTCTTTTGACTCTATCAAGATTGGGAAGTCTAGAGCTACTCCTGTGATTAATTTTTCTTACCCATTTATTTAATTTGTATCCAAATTGTTTCTGTATTCCGCCTTTTTTTTTTCTTATTTATTTCACACTTCAAATTATCCCTAACATAAATTGCTACTCCGCCTCCTTTTCCTGGTCTGCCTATCGGGTATGAAACAGCTTGTAACCCGTAATCTTGGTATTCGACTGGTAACTCACGTGTGTCTAGGTTGATCCATGTTTCAGTGAATGCAATTACATCGATTTTTCGGTACATGCCTGCTGGCCCCATGACATCCATTTGTTTCTCATACTTCTACTGCTTCATGTGAGTATAAGCATTTGCTATTTGTTCTGAGTCCTCCCCACTGCTTAGTTTTAAAAACTCCTGTCTAATCTGAAGGCTCTTTTGTCATCATTCCTAACATCATTTCCTGTGATCTTCACTTTGTTTACCCGCCTCCCACTGCAGTCTCCTCCACCCCTGTGTGCTCATATGTTCTCCCTAGCAGTTTAAAGACTTCTGATATCTTTTGAACTGCCCCCCTCTAGAGCCTTAGCCAGGGTTGCTACTCCAAACCCAGACAGGTGCACCCCATCCCTAGCATAAAGGTCCCTTCACATAAGTTGTCCCAGTTGTCAATGAATGGGACTGATGGCTGACTTGCAATATCTGTCAAGACGGTCGCTGACACCAACCGCCCTTGACAACCATTCACTGCCAACTCCTCCTTCTAGGCAGGACACCGCATATGATAGGGATCCCTCCCTAGTCCTAATACGATCTATAGCTGCCTTGAACTTATCAAGAAGCCCTACCCTATTAATTCCACTGAATACTATTGCCTCTGCACTGAGGTGTATACTGGGTTTGTTCCCATTACCAGACAAGATATTGTCCATCCTGTCAATTATATCCCCCACCCCAGCTCCTGCAAACACACCTCATCCTATTTTTGTTCTTACCACAAAAGGCCCTGTCCATGTGCTCTTACCTGTGAGTCACCAACAATTAAAGTTTTTATACCTTTCTTACCTCCCTGTCCCTGACTGTACTAACGTCCAATTCGTCTATCAAGGGACTGAACGAGTTGGTGTACACTTATTGTTGTTGTTGCCAAGGATTTATCCTGATGTACTTTCAAAAACCAGCTTGTCCTCCTACTACAACTTTCCACTGCTTGAGTTTTGCCAGACACTGGCTTTACTCTGGCCCAGCCTCCTTTTAACTCTACCAGCTCTTCTTTTAATTTCAGTGTTCTCCAACGTGGCCCTCTCAATTTCTTCATTGGCCCCGGCCAATTTTTTCCATGTGGGACCACCTGTTTGGTCAACAACCTCATACCCAAGACCGTACATAGCATCAAATATATTCGATAATTATCCCTCCGAGCTAACTGCCGTGACCTTTTCCCCAGTGGGAGGTCAGAACACAACTGAGTGAGGCTTTGAACACAACTGAATGGATATAAAATTCACTAGAGTCGGTGCAGTGAAGAATAATAAAAAATGATTCCGGGACTTGAAACCTTCCATATCAGGATAGGTTAAAGAAACTAAACTTGCATTCCTAGAAGACGAAGAAGTGCGGGGAGATATGATAGAAGTATTTAAGTGGGTGAAAGGAATCAATAAAGGGATATAGATAAAGTTCTTATAATATCCGAGCAGGATAGGACTAGAACAACGGATTCAAGTTGGATAAATTTAGGTTTAGGAGAGATAGGAAGAAACTGGTTCACAAATAGGGTGGTGGACAGGTGGAACAAGCTTAGCAACTGTGTAGTAAGTGCGGGAACTCTGGAAAGTTTCAAAAGGAGGCTAGATAGATACATGGATGATAGAGAGTGGTAGTAACTCTCGACAGGAGCTGCCATGCACAGGCCAACCAGCCTATTGCAGACTCCTTATTTTCTTATGTTTTGTTCTTATGTTTCTTATATAACACCATCCATCATCATCTACATATAACACCACCCATCATCACTACATATAACAACATCCATCATCACTACATATAATAACATCCATCATCACTACATATAACATCATCATCCATCATCACTACATATAACACCATCCATCATCACTACATATAACACCATTCATCATCACTACACATCGGTTAAGACGTTTCCGATATTCTCGGGCGAACACACACAAACACACAAATATACACACTTCTTTACCTTTTTTTATATATATATATATATATATATATATATATATATAATATATATATATATATATATATATATATATATATATATATATATATATATATATATATATATAACTATGTTTATTCACTTGAGGATAACAAGCATTGCATTGACTGGATAATGCCTCCTCAATATTACCATGTAATTTTGATAGTAGGAAAATCATAGAATCTAGTCTTATTAAACATACCGAAGCATTCAACATGAATTTGAGTAGCAATGTAAAAGCTGGACAATTTTGTAATTAAGAAGATTTGTGACCAGGTAGAAAGGCCGGGTCACTGACCATCTGAGCTGACCACCAACCGTTGTGTGCTATTTAAAGATTAGTAGGTCATTACTCAAATACCTGACCATTGTGGACCTGATCTCACCCCTTCTGTATATATACACCTTGATTTGTATTTCTCTCTCTAGTCTGTACTCACCCCTGAAGATGTGAATTACACGAAAGCGCTTGGGAACTTCGCTTTTCTTTCCTTGTTATCAGCATATATATATATATATATATATATATATATATATATATATATATATATATATATATATATATATATATATATATATATATATATATATATATATATATATATTTCATATAGTCCATATAGCGTTCCCTGGTCACACGCATAAGGTCGAGGGATCGAGTCCTGGCTGGTGAGGTCGTTGATTATGTATATATATATATATATATATATATATATATATATATATATATATATATATATATATATATGTATATATATATATATATATTCTTATGCATGGGTTGAGCCATTGGCAGCGGAAAAACAAAACGGTCCAATTACTCCAGCCTATGTCACGCCACAATGACATATTCATTTTGTAAGGGTCGTTGTTGGAACTACTGAGGATTTTCTTCTGCCCTAAATCGGTGTTCTGTATTTTTATATAACCTTTAAGCTCGAAATGGGGATCGTCTGACATGATTAGTCATTTTATGAAACCTGTCATCTTCCTCGAACATCCGAAAAAATATGCTACAAAAATTCCACCCTTTTTCATTTGTTATCATCACTAAGTTCTTGAATCATTTGGATTGTGTAGGGAAATATGTTTCCAATTAGGCCAATCAATATGGTCCAAAGGTATATTCGCTTTATGTGTTTGTCGAAGTTTATCGGTTTATGAAAATATTGCGTACCTGGAAGGATATCTATTATAATTTAAAGTCGTTTCTCTTTCGTGGCAAATCTTATAAGCTCTCTTTATATTCTGAAATCAAAAGAATAATAAAGCTACTTTTTCCCGAATATTTCATAAGTTTAAAATGTGTCAAATATTTCTTGCCTATCCTGCCAGTAACACTGATAAATAAATTTTTAATATCAGCACTGACGTGACACCCGAGTCATTAATGAATGTCTTCTTGCAGCTTTTACATATTACAGGATTTCGGAGTGTGTAGTTATCAATAAGGTTAAATTTAAATTCGTTACCCTAAATTATGACCCTAACTGGAACGGTAATGACATACTCATTGTTTGTATATCGTAAAGTACCTTATTTTGACGTATTACTCGGGTTCTTTTACAACCATTCAACTCTGTGCAAAATTAAACTGACCTTTTATGTAATCAATAAAATGTACTAAGAAGTGTTTTTCACAAACAAGTTGATTAGTTCAGTGTGTAGGACAAATATTTGATCATGTTGCTAAAGGTAAACGTCCAGATGTAACTTGTGTTTATAGTAACTGAGAATTTTCTGCCTAAATCTTCCTGTATTCTATAAATAAGCCATATGACGAGAAAAAATTCTTCTAATTAAAATTTTTATTGTTGTTCTTTTCTCGGGTATCCATTTATTAACCTGAGATTCTTCCTCTTAGCTCCATCAGTACAGAATGGATGGTCTAGAGGACTGGGGGTAAACCTGCTGGTGTCCGGCTACCACTTGCCTGAACTATCTAAACTTGGCTCTGGCATTTACCGCGGCTTCTCTAACATGGCTCATGATTACGTATATGATCCTGAGTCTGGTAACAAGCTAATCGTGTCTGAGGTGGAATCGGTGGCATCTGTTAGTGGGAAATCACCATCAACTCCAAGAAAGTCTGGTAAAACTTCCTTGTCACCAAAAGGGAACAACAGCATTAGGGTTCGTGGCTCTGCTGAAGGCTCAATCAAACTTGGCAGAGATCATTTGTTTCTTTACGATGATTTAAGCGAATTCTCAAGGGAAATTTTGGTTCATGGTGAATCTAGTGAACCTCATCAAGCTGAAGTGTGTCATCAGGATGGCCTCTGCTGCAGCCTTTCTTACACATCTACATCTTCTCTCAACTACACCTTCATGGCCTACAGTGGGATTCTAGTTGAAGGCTTTGGTGTATACAAGGTTTATGCTCAAATATGTTCTGTGGTGTGGTGTCAGACCGAGGACATAAGCACTTGTGCTCGTGTAGATGACCAACTCCCAGAAAATGATGAATTTGGACCTTTTACGATCACAGGAAATTTCAGTGTTGGACATGTGTACCCGATGTTCCTTACACGAAACCTCACCCTTGTCCAAAACGACCTATACTCCATCGATGGCAACGGGTACACATTAACTATGTCAACAGAGGTGCCAACACAGAGCCTTATGACCACTGGTTTCTATGCCCGCTGGTATCAGCGTGACCCATGAACTATTCTTAAGCTTCAGAGCATTAGACACACACCTGTGGGCAAGATCTATGACAAACGAGTAATATTGGAAGATTATAATGATCAAAACCACTATTATTTTTCCAGTTGACACAAGCATACCTAACTTAATCTAAACTAATCTAACCCAACCTACGAATCCTAGGGTAGTTTTGGTTATTTATTGTTGGTTCATGTCATGTTTTATAGTTAACCAATAGTTGGTTCATGGTTCAATTCTTAGTAGTTTACCAACATTGTAGTACAATTTGCTAAAAGTGTTTAGGGGGGAAGACAGTAGCACATTATATATAACTTGCTGAGGTATTGTGATGTCCTGACACAGCTGATATATTTTATGATAAAAGTGTCTAACTTCTTACTCCACTATTAATATACCTAAATTTTATGTTTTTACACATGTAAGAAATGTCTTTGTGTCTCAGAGACAAGTTATTCATATAACACAGCGTTTAACAGAATGATCGTCAAAATCATGGAAATTGCCATGGCTAATCTTATGTATATTTTTCAAATCCAATCGATTAGCAACTTGAAAATTCTCGATGGCAGCCATTCTTTTGCTGTCTACCAATTCCATGTATTTTTCTTGTGGTCTCCTTCTATGAACTATTTTATGACCCAAATAAAAATAAATATTTTGACACCCTCCAAACATACTTGACTATCCAAAATGGCCGCCATTTATTAATAAATGATTATAATCTACAATCTGGTGATGGGCTTCTCCTTACCAGAATATAAGGCAGTGGTCCTCAAGCGGAACCAGATTATGGAGCCAGCAAGGGTGTATTAGAAAATCGTAAAATATTTGGGATTTTTTGTCAAAGTAAAATTATTGAAAATATAAAATAATTTGATAGGAATTTATAGTTAGAGAGAAAGGAACTGCGCGTTTGTCCCGAGTGTACAGGATGTGTGTAATTTGCCCAAGACTGGGCCCAGAGAGAGAGAACCAGCCTTCTCACTGAAGGGATATATATGTTAATCACCTACAGTGATTTACTTGCATACACACACACACACACACACACACATATATTTATATATATATATATATATATATATATATATATATATATATATATATATATATATATATATATATATATATATATATATATATATATATATATATTTATATATATATGCTGATAACCACAAGGAAACTAAAAAACACGAATTTCCCAAGCGCTTTCGTGTAATTCACATCTTCAGGGGTGAGTAGAGACTAAGGAGAAATACATAACAAGGCATATATATACAGTAGAGGAGAGTGAGATCAAGTCCCTAGGGGACAGTGAGTGTCCACAATGGTCCGGTCACTAGGCGGTGACCTTACATGAGTGGTCAGTAGACTGGCAAATGAATTTTAATGCTGATAAATGCAAGGTACTACAAATAGGGAAGACGAATACAAACGTTAAGTATAAACTAGGTAACACGGAAATAGAAAACTCAGATTGTGAAAAAGATCTAGGTGTATTTGTTGGCAACGACTTGAAACCTAGAAAACAATGTATTAGCGTTCGCAACAAGGCAAACAGGATTCTTGGGTTCATATCTAGGAGTGTGAGTAACAGAACTGCTGACGTTATCTTGAAACTTTACCTATCATTAGTGAGGCCACACATGGATTATGCGGTTCAATTCTGGTGTCCTTATTATAGAATGGACATAGATTCTTTGGAGAGAGTTCAAAGAAGAATGACAAAAATTATCCATAATATTAGAAACCTTTCATATGAAGAAAGACTGAAAAGCTTAGGCTTGCATTCATTAGAGAGGCGTAGAGTTAGGGGAGATATGATAGAGGTGTTCAAGTGGGTAAGTGGGATTAACAAGGGTAAAATGGAAGATGTTCTGAAGCTCAGTAATAACGAAATAACTAGAACAAATGGCTTTAAATTAGATAAATTCCGATTCAGAAAGGATATAGGCAAGCACTGGTTTGGTAATAGAGTTGTGGATATGTGGAATAGGCTACCGAGTGCTATAGTAGGATCGGGGACGCTAGGGAGCTTCAAAACGAAGTTGGATAGGCACATGGAAGTGCTGGGATGGGTGTGAAAGGGATCTGCCCTGTATGGACCAGTCGGCCTCCTGCAGTATCCCACTTTCTTATGTTCTTATGTTCTTATAAGCACAGCAGCAGTCCGTAGTCAGGTCAGAGGGTAAGATGACTCAACCTCTCACCTGGTTACAAATCTTCTTAATTACGAAATTATCCAGTTTGTGCATACCATTTCTCAAATTCATGTTGACGGATTCGGTATGTTTAATGAGACTGGATTCTATAATGTTCCTACTGTCAATTGAATTACAAGGTAATATTGAGGAGGCATTAGGTAGTAGGCAGCTACCAAACAGGGAGGTACTACCGCCTGGGAAGATATTGGAAGCATAATGTGTTGTCTAATGGTAGACCCTGCTGCTATATGACATCACGAAAATTATGACCAAGTCTCAGGTTGCTAATCTGACTTTCTGCCTCATTTGCACACAATTGCAGGGTCTCAATTGTTTCTCTTGCTATTGACAACACAACATACATATATCGTCTCTCACTAATGATCTTTTTTTTAAATTTCTTTATGGTTCCATATTATTATTATTATTATTATTATTATTATTATTATTATTATTATTGTTATTATTATTATTATTATTATTGCAGTGTTTTCAGTATTATTATTGTTATCATTATTATTTTATTTGTATTTTTGTATTTTTTATTATAAATTTTACTTATCTGAATTATTATTATTATTATTAATATTATTATTAATATTATTATTATTATTAATATTATTATTATTATTATTATTATTATTATTATTATTATTATTATTATTATTATTATTATTATTATTATTATTACTATTATTATTATTATTATTATTATTACTACATTTTCGCCCCCCTGGCCCTGATGTGGGTCAGTGACCTGTGTCCGGGTGTGGTAATACCCGTAAAAAAAAAAGTCACTGCAATGCTTATTATCCCTCAAATGTACAAACAGAGCATTGGATTCCTGGCCTGTCCTAACACTATATTTATGTTGTTTAAGTCTAGTTACAAGATGTTTACCTGTCTGGCCTAAGTAAAACATATTATATTCCTTGCAAGGAACCTTGTAAATGCAGCCGCCTGCTTTGTTGGGGGAGTTGTTGATTAACATTTGTGTTACAGTGCATGAGTTTTTAAATGCCGCATTGACGTTCCAAGTTTTTAGTTGTAAAGGAATTTGAGGGAATTTTTTTGTGAAATGGTAATACTAAGAGATTCTTATGGTCATGGATGGGCTTGGGATCGGTTCTATAAAAAGATTTCTTAGTAATGTTAAGGCATTTGTCTATGAAAGATCTAGGGTAATTAAGGTTCAAGCCAATATTATAAATATATTTATATTCCTCCTCAATAAATTCCGGACTGCAAATTCTCAAAGCACGTAAAAACATTGATGAAAATACTGACTGTTTGACTCTATTATGGTGGGCAGAATAATAATGAATGTATGAACACACATTAGTAGGTTTCCTATAAATACTGAACTTAAAGATGTTACCTATTCTGTGGATCAGACAGTCTAGGAATGGCAATTTAGTCATGCTCTAATTCCACAGTGAATTTGATCGAGGGGGCTAAGTTGTTAAATTGTGGCAGAAAAGCTTCTAGGTCCTCATTACATGGCCAGAGACATAATACATCATCTACATATCTAAACCAGACTGCTGAAGGTTGTAAAATATTACTTAATAGTTTCTTTTCAAAGAATTCCAATATATAAGTTGCTTAATACTGGTGAAAGCGGATTACCCATTGCCATACCAAATTTTTTAGCGTATTATTCTCCATTGAATTCAAATTTACAATCCTTAATACATAGTTTGATGAGTTCGATGAAGTCGTCCTTCGAGACGGGCAATGAAATATTGTAGTGATGGGTTGTCAGACCTGCCTTACAGTCATCTAAGGAGACGACAGCCCAAGCAGTGGACCGGCTTTCATCCCGGCCGGACGGGGCCGACGGCAGATGAACAGAAAATCGTCTGGAATATGTTGAAAATGATGATGTTGCAGAGAAGAAATACAGATGGAGCAGAAAAATTCATCTGGAATATGACGGAAAACGAAGATGTATAAAGAAAAGCAGATGAACAGAAAAATCGTCTGGAATATGAAAATGAAGATGTATAAAGAAACGCAGATGAGCAGAAAATTCATCTGGAACATGAAAAAGCTCTAAACGTAGAGGAAGCGCAGGTGAACAGAAAAATCATCTGGAATATAATAGAAACCAGGAGGAAGTGTGAAGAAGTCAGAAGATGTGGTGACACGACCTACAAAGTGCGGTATTGAAGAAAGAAAGACGTACTATGTGACGAAAGAAGGCAGAAGACGTCCTGTGCTGACATCAGAAGAAAGTCGACGATGAAAAGGTGGATAATCAGAAGGACCAATCGATTACCGCTGATGTGCTGCCGGCATTCCTTATTTTCAGATACCAGCTGGATGGAGGACTTGAGCCATGCTGGACCCAACAAATGTACTGATGTTGTTGATGTACATTAAAAAGATATAACACCCTAACATATGAAGTAGGAGCATTTTGTATTTTGTATTTAATTCTCTGATTTTTGTTATCATGTACGACAAAGAATGTTTTTTTTAGAAGATTAGTCACTTTTTCTATGGGTTCATTTGATAAATGTTTTGTATTACCAAATGAAATGTTGTAGACATACTACTGAGTGGGACGAATTCTTATTTTGACACGGCCTGGTTTGGCAATGTAACACCTGTTATTGTTTGTAGAATGTGATTTGCAAGTTTGCCTCGGACACTATGCTAGATATGACGGATCTTTAGATCACTCTATGTTCACTTATTGTGTAAGTATTTTATTTTTTTTCTCCAGTCATAGAAGCTTTAATCTTGGCGGGAGGTATAGTAAGCTTTGTCAGATCAAACTATGCCAGTAGAAAAACATACATCTCTAGTGTTATAATTTGTAAAATGTAAGGATGCATTATCGCCTCAGGGACTATATTAGATACTGCACATGATGTTACTGTCTACTTAAAATGTGTCATCAGTGCTCTGAGCATGAAAGCTTTGGTCTTGGCGGGAGGTGTAGTGATGGGTTGTCAGATCCACAGCTTACATCTCAGAAACAGTCCAGACTTGACCCGACATTAGGGGGGTCAAAGGTGTAGGGTGGCTCGCGGCTGACCAAGGGTTATAGGTCAGCCAGGCTCCCCTCTCATGTCACACGGCCCACCTGATGATTTCTCCAGAAGATACAACTTATAGTCTCTGAAAAAGACCAGACCTGACCCTACATTAGCGAGGGCAAAT